TCAACAAACAAAGCTGTTGTTTTTCCTCTGCTATGCCTAAGCCATATTCTCTTCTCCTGTGCCTACACAGCCATACATACATACATACATACATACATTCATACATACATACATAAGACAGACACAATCTATTTCCCTTTTTTGCAGTTTGTTTTTAACCTTGAGTCAATATAAATTTTAATCATCCACTTCAGAAATCATTCAGGGAAATGAAAGGGAAACTGTCTGTCTAATTTAAAATATTATATTATTTTCATCTGACTAAATAGCAATTTAGGGAAAAAAAATTAAAAAAACAGAACTAATTAACCGCCCGCAAAAAGATTTTCCAGTTGTTAATTAGAAATACTGAAATTAACACAATAAAAAAAACTGAAATAAGCAGTGTTTGTGCAGAAGCGAAATCTAAAGAGGAAATATAATAACTGGGGATCCTCGCATTTAAAAACCCAGGATCCGAACAAAAAGACAGATGGTGTTTTTCTGCAATCTTTGCTATTTTATCTCTTTTTTTCTTATGAAAAATTATATGACGTAAAATGATCGGCTAACATAAACCCATAAACCCCCCCACCCCCCCCTTTTTTGTCCTTATCGAAAAGCAAATCTCAACACAGTTAAAAAAATAATTAGCACTTAATGTGAAGTTTTAAATAAATAGCACAATTGTAAGTCACTTAATTCAAATGAATAAAACAACACTGATAACAGAGGAGGCGACACTAAGCAACGCTCAGCCATGAAAGAAAAGAAAGGGAAAATAAACACAGGCCCTCAAGATGTCCGTTTCCAACATAATCAAACGTGCAGCTGAAATAACGCATTTTTAATGAAGCCATTACAGGCCCTGCTATGTTAATTAAAACCAAATAACTTGTCTGTTTTAAACTAGTGTTGTCAAGTGTTTATTTGGCCAATTACAAAAGCAGTGGGAGATCATTATCTGCTGCCAGGAGCGTTGACAGCACGTAGTGCTGGGGCGTGAACAGAAAAGAACAGACCAGAATACGGCACTTCAAAGGACAAATGCACCGCACAGACTGCGAGGGAGGGGGGGACTGAAGGGGAAGGAAAAAGCTGAAAAAAGAGCTATGGGGAAGAAGAAAGTGAGGAAAATTAAAGACAGACTACAGCACTTATAGATATAGAGACGAGCGACAAACCAAAGCAAGAACAAACAAAGATTTTGTGTAAGGTGTTGGTTCGCCACCACGTTCCACCACAAAACCTTCAATTTGGCTTTTCGTTGATTTCCAACGTCTCTGGAAGTCTTAACAGAATAACGACGTCTAACATGTCAGTGCAAAATTATGTGCAGGTGTGAGATCCGCTGACTGAAGAGATGACTGCAGTCAACAATGTTTCATTCAGAGCGACTTTGTATGAATTTGAGGTGTCGCTTTCCTGTGACGGGACAAACTATCCGAGCACAGCCGAGACCCTCGGTGTAGGATTAAGGACTTTAGTTTTTTTCCTTTAATTTTCCACTCGTCTGTTTTTTAAAGGTATATTTTAAGTTATCTAAAGGATTTTTGAAGAAAGGGGGATTTGGGTAAAAACGCAGGGTGGCAGGAGACCAAAAAGTAAAAATACAAAAGATGGAGCAGAAGAGAGGGAGGTGTACAGACAGCAGGTGAAGGAAAGAGGAGGGAACAGAGAGGCAGAGGGAGGGAAAGCTGGAAGGAAGAGTAGGAGGAGAAGGTTAAGGTAAAGAGGGGGCTGAGATCCCTAGGGTAAAGCCCAGCTTTAATACTACTCCCAGCAGAAATGTGTTTTTCTTTTCCACAATAAAACATTTCAAGGTTTCTAGCTTGTTGTATAATTTTTATATTTAAAAATCAATCTCCGAAAGCTAAACCATCATCTCTGAAAAGTCTCATTGAAAGTGCACGATGTGCATCTTATATTTCCAGAACTTTCCAAACATTTTAGGACCTTAAACTAAACTGTCGATGCTTTTAAAAATAATGCCAAAACACATAATTTGGTATGATCGCTTTTTTTTTTTAAGTACACTTTCCCAGCGTGTCTTAGGGAACTTGCCACATTCCTCCTGCAGCTTTTGGCTGCCTCACTTTCTTCTGTCTCTTCATTTAATCCCAGACTGAGTTGATGAATTTGAGATCAGGACTCTGTGGGGGCCGTTACATCTGTTGCAGCACAGCAAAATGTATCTGAAACCAATCAGATGCCTCTTTCAGTCAAGATGAACTTATAGAGATTGGACGGATACTCGTCTCCACACTTTAGATTTGTACTCAAGGATGAAGCCCCACACAGCACCATGAACCCATGTTGCATGTTATAAAAATGTGTTTTATAAAAAAAAAAAAACACTTTAAAAATAAACTGCTGCTCAACTTCCTGTGAGTCTTCCTACGACTTGTTCAGATAGGAGGACAAGAAAAACAAAACATACCAGTACAACAGATGTAAAACCTATTACAGCGCAGAGCAAAGCTTCTTCTGTGCCATTGTTTATTTTTACTGCATCTCAGGTTTTGTCTAAGAATCATTCGGGCAAATTCGCCGATGGAGCTGGAAGAAGGATTAGCAAAGGTGAAAGAGAGTACAGTATCACAATGGGAAAAGTAATACGCCGCTTTGACAGCGTTTTGGTATCCACGAGCAGCCGGCCAGGAAGAGCCTATTGCAAATTATTATAACGGCAGTCTAAACATATTCGCCGCACGCTGAAGGAAGACCTCGGGCCTTTCAGCAGAGGTTTGTGCTCAACAAGTATCAAAGAAAACGGAGGAAATTCTTGAATGAAAAGCTGAAAACTGAAACACTAAAAGCCCCCCTCCTCTTCCTCAAACTCGCTGACAGTCATAGAAACAGAGAAAGGGTTAGTTCCCTGAGCACGGCTAAGCCTAGTACAAATGATGCCAGTGTAAGGCCTGCTGTAGTGCTGAAGAGATAAGCCACTGATACCAAATGTTGAGGATGAGACTGAGTCCAAAAAGTGGAGACTAATAGACATTTATTGGCTAAGCCAAAGGAAGGTGGCAAAAGCATGATTCAGACATATCCGAACGTCCGTGTGATTTAGGATGAAGTTTGCAAATCCCGTGTTAACACAACACCGTTCTTGCTCCTGGTTAACAAAGTTGTACGCATTTCCCGCTCCCCGCCCCAAAACTAAACACGACATCCAGCTTTGCTTAATTTTCTAAACATGGGCTGAGCAGATCTACTAATTTGTGCTGCAGCTTAATGAGTGGACGTGACGCGAAGAAGACTGACGAGGAGGGTAATAGCAAAAGAAAGAGTGACACTGCACAAAGCTGCTGAAAACTAAAAAAAAAGGGAGGAGAAAAAAAAGGTTTCAACAGTTGTGCAGTATTACAAATGCAATAGTGGTCTATCCTCTATCCTCTGATCCTGGCAAAGCAACAGTGAGAGCGTCTGGACGGGATGGAGGCTTTCTATGCTCTCTCTCATTTAATTACAACACAGAGCTGCAGGATTAGACAGGGGCCTGTGTTCACAGCCTTATACTGGCACTACCACTGAGCCACTTCCCTCCTCTCTTTCTCCAAATCTCTCGCCTTTCTGTTTTCTGGAATAATCTCCCATCTTCTTCTTTTTAATATCTTCTCCACTTGTCTTCTCTATCCTTTTCTCTTTCAGACTGTTTCTCTGATTAAATCTTTTCTTTGTTCAAGCTTTTGTCTTCTCTGTTCTCTTTTCCGACTAGTTCTGCAGTCACCATCCTCTTCTCGCTTCTCTCCCCCTCTAATCCTGCCATCCTGTTTTTGCCGGAATTTCATCTGCGATGCAGACACATCTTTATCTCTGTCTCAAACACATGTTTACTCTTGATTATAAAGAGACAACTGTGAATCCTTTAAGTGACAAAGTTGTGAGCGGGGCATGTGTTTGCTTGAAAATATTTGTGCATGTGTTGAAGTGTGCGATCGTGATGAAATGGAGAGTGTGAGCTGCGCGATAATGTGTGTGTTGCTTTGAGGTGTTTGTGCCCTGGCGGTCTCTACAGACTACGATGGCACACTGCCTGGGCAAGCCTACACACACACACACACACACACACACACACACACACACACACACACACACACACACACACACACACACCTCTATACAATCACCACCCCTCCACATGCACTCCACTCTTGATTAATGGAAATCCCATTTTTGTTTCCAGCAGCAGGGCTAATTAAACTGGTAGTTAAAACAGTGCTCATTAGCTCGCTACCACACAGCGTAGCGACCGAGCCCTCAAATGGCTGGTTGTAGATAGCTGAGTGATGCAGGGTGTCAGCAGAAGAGCCACAGAGAATACTACTCTTAGTGCTGACAACTGTATCCTAACACAGTCAGAGTGTACTGTATTCACAGTGGACTGATACTAATTAATATTCACTGAATAATACGTGTGCGCAGGTGGACGGATAAACAGTCGGCTTAACTTTCCCCGTCACAGGTGCGAGTAAACAAAGGCGCCGACGCGGGGCTACTGCTGCAGCACACAAACAGTAAAACAAATACGAAGCAATAACGGAGGGAAAAAAGAAAGAACAAGAAAACAAAATCGCCAAACAGTGACAAGAGATTATCTGAACTATTGTCCCTGCTGCACTTCATACACAGCTGCTGCCTGAGGTTGGGCTGAGGCCCAAATGGAAAAGCCAATTAGGGCTGTGGGTGTCACAAGCGGAGATGCTGATTTGAGTCATCTGAAGGATACAAAGTCATTCTTAAAAAAGATAAAGATCCTCAAAGAACAGTTGAATGAAAGACAACTGGATGATTTCAGCTTCTTGTATAATATACTACAGTATATTTCTCTATATTTCTCTCTCTTGGTACTTTAAGACATCAGACGCAACACTTTGTTGGGTCCACTTAAACAAACTGCAAATATGAAATGTTAAAGTGACATCAGGGGTTAAATTTGACATGCAAAATATGGCCAAGAAATTAGAATTTTAGGCACATTTTTAAAGATAAAAGACTTTTAATGGATGTTTGACCTTATTTGACCTTGAAGAAGAGGTCGGAGCTCTATATTTAGAATCCCGATAAATCATTCCCTATTTGCCTGTATGTTCTCGACATAAATACTGGCAATTAAAAAACAAAAAAAACATAAGAATGCATTCAAAACTTTTGGAGCTAATTACCTGAGGAATACTGTGAAATGGCTAAATCCACAGAGGAACTGTGGCCTGTTCTTTAAGATCAAGCAAACTCTTGAAAGAAAAAGCCGTTTTTCTATTCTGCGTCCTCACTTTGCAGTAAAACAGGAGCAGAGAAGCGATTTCGGCTCTGACGTGTCTGTAAGAGAGGAGGCAAACCACTCACATTTCTTCGAGGGAAGGTCGTGAGGAGCTTGAATTCTTCAAAGGGGTATCCCTTGGAGGCCACAAAGTCAAAGAGAACCTGGAGCTTACAGCTGCCCAGGAAACGCCTTTCCAGAAACTCGCCACTTGGTGTGCGGATTCTCAGCTTGCTGATTTGCTCGCCTGACTCTTCATCGGGCTCTGGAGGCAGGGCCTGCTCCAATGACAAGCGGATTGCCTGAAACAAGAAAAGCCAGCGTTTTTGTTTTTGTCAGTTAAATGCATTAATGTATTTGAAAACACAGATTTGCATACAGGTGTTGGTGAGATGCAGCAGTCAGCACTGCTGCTGCAAGCGTTTATTTGCCTTCCCTTCATTTAAACAGCAAAGTCAGCCTGATTATTCCAGTGACTTCAGTAAAAATACGCGTCTCGTTCTCTCTGTGTTTACAGTGAACTTAAACCGGAGTATCAACAGTAACGTTGGCAGCGATAAAGATGATGACACGCTTTCCAAGCATATATGAAAGGCAAGCCAAGAAGTTGCTCTCAGAGTCTTACTGCAGCACTATTATTTCACATTAATTAAACAATCTTCTTGCCCTAAGAATGTTATTAAATTAGCTGCCCTGTGTCTCACCCTGTTCCCTAAAGCCCGTTGTAGCTCAGAAGGTTGCCAAGTAGCATATCAGTATGCTAAGAGCAGCCAAGTGCTTCATTCTTTCATGCTGCCTTGCTGTTTGCTCTGTCACTCTCTGAAAAAAACTGTCAAATACCCCTGCAGATAGTGGAAAACCCTCACTAGTAAGAGGAAGATCTTTGAAGATCTTCTTCATGTGAAGCTATCACTTATTTTACAGATGCTAACGGGGTCTGCGCTAAAGGGTAGGGTTCATGAGTGACGACTGACCGTCATCTTCCACAGAAAAGCAAATCAAGCCTCCTGAGCTCCAAAAACCATGTTTCAACTGCTCCCTGGAGCCTTCGTCTCCTTTCTACTCCTACCCCTCACCTCCTCCTCCCCTGGCTTGTTGTTCCTGTTTGGCCAGCCGGGGAGCATATGCTGTGACAACACGCCCCGGCTTTATTTACACACCATAATGCAATTATATTTCATAAGAGTGTACAACAGTAGCTCATTAGCAGCTTCTGGTGTTGGGTGGGCAGGGTGGAGCGCGTGCTGCTCCGCCATCAGCTCCCTCAGGTACAAGAACTGAAGCTGACTGAGTTAAAGCTGTCCCTGGGGACAAAGCTAACACATACGCACACACAAATAACAGACTGGAGCGCATGAGGTGATGGACATACAAATGCAGACAGCTAGTCAACCACAGACACAAGCACAAACGCCCACGCGAGTTAGAGGTAGCGTCCCCAAAGCAACCACGAGGCACACGTCTGCTCGAGCTTCGGGCCCAGGAAGCGCCGCACAAATAATCGGGAGCATCTCTCCGTCCATTTACCTGCCTCTCCAGCTCCGCTCGGCTAACCACAGAAAGCAAACAGACGATGAGCAGGAGAAATAGGTGCACCTGACAGCCGCACAACTGTATGCTATGACCCCCTGACGGAGGTAAATAATAATGCCAGTCCACACAGGCGCATGAAACACACATGCCCTCCACCCCCTCCCGCCCCAACCCCCAGTTCACTGGCTCCCATATTCATCTCCCGTTTCTTCGCACAAAGGCATAAAATCACAGAGAAAGCATTCCCACTAGCATTGTTCCCTCTCCGGTGGTGACTGGTGTTTTTGGTGTGTCTGCAGTTTCTACTGTAAACTCAACCGAAAACTGTAAACAAGCACTAACAAACAAACAAAAAATTATTCCAATTAAAACGGCTCACGTGGTAGGCAACGCCGCGCCTTCCTTAAGGAGACGGATAACTAAGTTGGCACCAGCACAGCGAGGAGTGATAAAAGAACCAGTTGCTGCCATAGACTGTTTAAATAAAGAGCAGCATGTGTGATGTAAATGCTAAAATCCAAGTTACTCGTTTCAAACGCGCTCAAGTCCAAAATTCTCTTTTAATTCAACCGAATTATGAGCTGCTGTTGTGGAATAATAGCAAATTTGTTCGGTACGAATTAACTAGTAACTAACTGACACTTTTTTGGCTACCTAGGTTTGCTGTACAATTAGTTTTCACATGTTTGTCTCCAGTTAGGAGAAGAATTCACAACTAGTAATAGTGATTAAATAAAAGGAAAGCGAATTCCCAGTTTTGTTTGTTTGTTAATTTAGTTTTTGTAGTGTATTTGAACCGACGTCCATCAGAACTACTGGTACACAAAACAGGATCACGTTATGATAAAGTTATCCTTTAACAGTTTGGGAAACTTAAGTTGCCATTGTCTCGGTACACCAGCTGCTGCTGCTTCTCATATTTATGGATATCTAGACAGTAGCACAGCACAGCGCGTCAGCACAGGAGACGCCATGGAAACCTTTGAGCTCGAGCAGAGAAAATTAATATAAGTAGAAAACACAACGCCATCCCGGCTATTGTTGTCGAAAATACACAAGCATGTATGCACTGTTTGATTCGTGGACTACAGTGATATAATTAAGAAGGCCAGGTTCAGGGCTCTTTTGTTGTCGTCTGTTTAACTTAAGTGACAAATCATTTGAGCAAGACGGGTCACCCAATACCTCTCGCTGCCCTCGGGCTCTGACCTGCAGAGCAAACAGCAATCAGCGAGGACTACACTGTATTACAATAGACAATCACGACGCTGGTGCCATCCTCACCGACAATTATTGTTTTCCTGTGTGCGTGACATTGTGTCCGCCGCGTGTGTGTGCGCTTGCCCCGTCTTTGCAGACAATAATTGTTTTCCAGAGAATATGTGTGTTTACTTAGGTGTATGTTTGTGCATAGGTCTGTGTACATGAATTGCCTCTTTTATTCGCTCGGGTTTGAATATGAGGCTGTGTGCTATATCAGTATAAAAAAGCTAACCAGGACAATAACTGTGTACACTGAAGGTGACATTAATGGGGATCGGCCTTGCTGTAATTAGGATATTTAATTTCTCTGAAATGGCTGTGTGCTTGTATACTGACACAACACAGGCTTCACTGACTGGCAGATTCCACCAAAACCACAATTTAATTGAGTTACTATTGAGTAAGCAGAAAAGGGACATAAACAACAGCACAATGGTACAGCCCTGCTAAATCATACTAGTGCGTTAGCTAATAGTAGATTTTCATTTGCTCATTTTGAAATGTGCTCGAGTCCAAAATTCTCTTTTAATTCAACCGAATTATGAGCTGCTGTTGTGGAATAATAGCAAACTTGTTTGGTACGAATTAACTAGTAACTAACTGACACTTTTGGCTACCTTTGTTTGCTGTATAATTAGTATAATTATGGCTGTCGTACTCACCTCCTTCTCCTCCTCCTGCTCCTTTCTCATCTGTTCCAAGCGAAACTGTTCGGCCTCTTCTCTCTCCTGGGCTTCTCTCTGAAAACCCCCCCAAAAACATAAACAAATCATTAATTGGATTCATTTCTGTTACTTTGCTTTGACAAACTAACTAACTGATCAACAAAAACTTTGTTCTAGACACGCAAGTTGTAGTCTGCACAAGCACAGCATAATTTAAAGTTAAAATGAGCTGCTCTGTACACACACTGGCTCATTATGATCTCACTGAACAACAATAAGGCATTTCTTATTATTTACGACACCTCAACTAAACAGAGTAACACAGTAGGAGTAGATTGTACTCTAAACCTGATGTTTGAGGTTCATTTTGATTTTAATACTATGCTTCAAAAACAACACTTAAGAACTGACAGTGATACACAAAGATAACTGATGCACTTGTGGTCAGAAGTTTACGTACACTCATCAGGGGCATGAACGGATTTGAACTATCCTTTTTCCAGGCTGGAATGACTGTACGCTGTACATCTTTAATGCCTTTTGAAAGCAAGAACTGGGCACACGTTTGAACATACTTTGGATTATCTCTAATCCACACACGGTCAAATATATACATACATCCCCGATGATATTTAGTTAAATGTCTCTTAGCAAGTTGAAACTTGACCAGATGCTTTTAGTAGCCATCAACAAGCTCCTGGCATAATTCTGTCTTCTTGGCAGAACTACAGAGTTCATTTAAATTAGCCGGTTTGTTGGCACAGACCCGGCTTTTAAGCATAGTTCACAAATTTTGAATAGGGCTGAGGTCAGGGCTTTGAGTACATCCTACCAGAAGCTTAATCGGCCATTTCTAAACAACTGCCAAGATCACTAGAGGAGTTTAAACACCTGTATATAAATACAAGTTTTTACTTTCTCATGGTCTGGAAGCATCACTAGGATCACTGTCCACAGTTTGCAGCTGCACATATGGACAACCCAGCTGTATTATGACGCAAACCTTTATGGTCAGACAAGAAAAAGACTGACTATTCCACCAAAGTAGCAAGAGGTATGTTTGGAAGAATAAAGCTGAGGCTTAAACCTAAGAACTGTATCAACTAACAAGCATGGTGATGGTAGCATTCTGCTCTGGGGCTGTTTTGCTACCAGTGGTACTGCTACACTGTAAAAAGTGGATGGAACAATGAAGGAAGAGTACTACCTCCAAATTCTTCAACTTCACCTCAAATCAACAGCTGGACGGTTCAAACTGGGAAGCAATTGGGTGTTCCAGTAGGACAATGATCCCTGGTTTTGAAACGGATAAAACAGGCTAACATTAAGCTGCTAGGATGGCTTTTGCAAAGCCCCGATCTCAACCCTATTTAAAATTCGTGGACTAAAAGGTGGGGCTTGGCTGTACCAAGAAAACCAACCAACTTAAATGAACTTCTTCAATTCTGCTAAGAAGGGTGGTCAAATATCCATCCATAATTGTGCCAAAAGTTTGTTTTTTTTAGTGTCTGGTCAAAGTTGCTAGTGGACATGGTGTATATATTTGAGCCTATATATACACAGACATTTTACCCCATGTGGATTAGAGAAAATACAAATTAAATTCAAAGTTGTGCACCCAGTTCTTGTTTGTGAAAGTCACTATAGATGTATGCTGTGCCATCATTCCACCCTGGAAGAGGAAGAACTCGTAGGAATCATTAAAAGCACAAACCTACATGACATTCATGCCCATGATAAGTGTGCGTCAACTTCTGATCACAACTGCATTATTCTGAAAGTACCTTCTTACGATCAGCCTCTAAAGACAGACGATAGGCCTCGTCCTGTTCTCTCTTCACCATCTCCCTTGCCTCGCGCTCGTCCTGAGTGGAGAGAGGGGAAGAAAGAAAGTCGGTCCCATTAACTAGCAGCATAATAAAGGATACACGAGGACAAAACATCTAAGCAGAAGTGCCGGCTGTGGAAGCTAGCAGCAGAAAACAGCATGTCAAGTGCGGCTACATACAAACACCAGGTATGAAAGAGTAGCAACAGAAGGGAATTCATTCTGACTGGGCTGTCATTTACCAGACCCCGAGCCCCTTTTATGTTTCCTCATCTCAGTTTCACCCTCCCTTTTTCTTTTATTCACGCTGCCTCTCTTCCTGTTTGTACAGAGGGAAAGGGACAGGCGGCCTTTCTCTTTCTACCTGCTGTGGCTACAAAGTGTTTTATAAAGACTGGGACTAAATACAAGTGTCCATTGTGTTAACAGCGCACAGCCATTAGTTTTCTATTTTCTGAAGGCCCACGCTGTGTGTCAGCCCGGATATGGCAAAGTAAGCTTATTGTGATGATCAGAGGGCTACTGTGAAACCAGGCAGTGGCTAAGCAAAATGACAGTGTGTATTGTTGCACTGAATTGGAAAATGCAAATATACATTTGTGCTTTTGGGCTACATAATAGATGAACTTTGAAAGGAAACTGTAAAAGAATGGCACAGAGGGACAAAAGCATCAAAAGTGGCTACTTTCAATAGATTGCCCCCGAGTCACGCAAACAAGTCGCACAGTAGTTCATGTTTGATATTCATTTTACATTCATTTGACCTGCTGTTGAATGTTTTCAAACACTTTGAATAACCTAAAGTGAGGAGGCATGAAGGGAAATGTTTATCTGACATGCTCAAACACCATGTGATTTTCAGGGCCTTAACTTTGGAGGAAAAAAGAAACAGATTTTCCACAACTATATCTTGGCTACTGTTCAAGTTGGCAAGACGTGTGCCGTCTTTTAGTCGTGATGATACACTTGGTGTTCAGAAAAGCAAGCTGTCACATATTTAATGTTTGCTCACAAATAACAACTAGTGAAAGACGCTTTATATGGCGGTTTTTGGGTTGGGTTTTTTTGCAATTTAATTTTGGAACCAAGTGGCTGAGCTCTACTTGCCAGAGGGCAAATTTTATATCCAATAATTTCCTTTTGGACCGCAATATCAGCCTTTATGCGCACTGTCACTTCACAAACAGAGGGCCCTGGCTTAAATCAGATCCTTTCTGTGGACACTAGTTCACCTAACCATGAAACTCGACCCAAATGTATACTCTTTTTATATTAAACGCTTCAACCAAATCAGCACAAACTGCACAATGGTTAGTTTTTGGCTAGTTTTCCTATGAAATCCATGCTTAATGACCCGAAAACGACCTTTGAAAAACAACAACCCTGAAATGCTGACAGATGTAGACCACAAAATTGCATCAAGTAGTCATTTGATTACTAACTACTAAGCTAAAACACAGAAAACCATACAAATGACTGGCGAGTCAGTACGGCTGGTAGAAATCACAATGTGGCCTTCCAGCTGCTCCGATTCCAGACTGACACAAAAGTCGCTGTCAAAGAGGAATGTCTGGGTGTCTGTGTTCATGTCTGAGTTTGTCTTTGGAAAGGAGAAAAATGGAAGAAGAAGGACGAGACACAGGGAAAGAATCATATACACCAGCACCCAAAAGCAGGTACCGTGAAAATGAGGTTTGTCAGTGAAAATCTTGAGGTTGATGGTACTAATAATGAATAAATAGTCATATATTACACTTTATTTTTATAGTGTTTAATTTTGGTAATAGTACTATTCTTTTGGCACACACACACACACACACACACACACACACACACACACA